GAACAAAGCTTTCAGTAGTTCAGCTGTACAACAAGCAACAGGAGGTTTCGCTGTTTGGTTATGGCTCTACATTACTGCGTTATTGCAGCTTGAATCAGTTAGAATCTTCAACCTTCTTGCTGTTTTCATGAAGTCACTGCAACATCCACAAACAAAACAAATACATAAAAAACAAGTTCACTCGAGGAAATCGCATATAATATATGAAAAGCACTAACTCTCACCTAAATGGTTTATCCCCAAGTTTTCGCACAGCACCGGTGACATCCCAGTACAAGATATGAGTCAGCATCTCTGAAATATCAACACCAAACATATTTTCCAATTTTCTGTATAGTTCTTCATAAGAACTGAGCAAAGAAAGGTCCAACGTGCGACCTATGTCCTCCGATTCCACGAAAACCTTGCAATGACCGGTCTCGGAGTTGAGCTCCAAATGAAAACCTTCACATGATGAGCGCTCTGGTGCACCATGTTGATTAAGGGCGGAACCAGATCCATCAGAAGTATTTCCTGTCTTATCTGCATTTCCATCTGAAGAACTATTGCCTGTGCGAATCTGTGAAACTGTGTCGCCAGAGCAGCACAGAGAAATCTGCTGCTCAGTAAGAATTGGTCGACCAAAAAGTATGAATTGGCCTGCCTTGCTGTTATCGGTTCTTTTTGAAACTTGATTGGAATTTCCCATGGTTAGAAGACAAGAAACATTCTCGTTATTACCTAGCTTGGGTAAGATTAGATCGGAAGCTCCCTGGTGTACAGAAGCTCGATCGAGCGGCATAAAATCGATTGGAAACAAACCTGACTGCAGTTTATTGAGGTGGAGATCTGGTAATGATAAACCACATTGAGCATGCCTGGCTCCCTGCATGCCAGCAGGAGTATTGTCAGGAAGACAACCAAACGGATTATTGGACCCAAGAACATGGTTGCCCGAAAACATTGACAATGGAAGTTGGCCTTCGAGAAGGAAGTCGGGATGTTGTGGTAATCTCAATTTCTTCCGTGGTGATGAAAAAGGAGAGAGATGGATGGTGGGCATGTTTGACACTAATTCTACGAGCCATGGGCTCACATGTTTCACATTTTGAAGTAGATCAGGCTCGTCCCAAATCACCTGCAATAGTTTATCTTAAGTTAAACAGTTACATGTAAAAGCAAGAAAAGACTGTCCAGTACCATTGCAATTCGTCAAGCTACGAAAAAGTTTCATCAAATTTCAGAAAATATTACAAAACAAGCAAAATTAAGCCTTAACAGCTTTCAGCAAGTGAAAGTTGAGAGAGCATCAATAATCAGACCGACTCTACATAATCACAAATTTAAACCCAAGCAAAATCACATATGTACATATTTCTAAATAAATGGTATCAATCAACACGTGAAAAGATCTCGGAAAATAGAGAGGAAAACTGATCAGTACGATTGGTTCAAAAAAGTGAGTACATAATGAGAAAAGAAGATAAATCCTAATGTATCAGGTAAACTTGTAGGAAATATCATGCAATTGTTATAATCAACTGAACCAAGATACTTGTGATCCAAAATATAACATCATTATCACAAGCTTGTAAGGGAATAGCACCCAAGATTATTATAAAATTGCCCTTGGATTCTTTAGCAGAAATTTGTGCAGAAAGCATAAAACTACCAGCATTATATTGTGCAAAAATTGCAAGCAGAAATAACAATTAACACGAGTAACAAGATGTATTTAACACTATCCGCATTACCTGGAGAAGTCTCCAAGGTGAATCTGGCCAGCGAATGGGGTCAGCAACCTGAACTGACGATATGGTTCCCATAAACCAACTTATTCGTGAAGAATCCTCTGTTTCAAAGGCCATCTTGAACCTCATGCCAGAGCACCAACGAATTTGCAATGCCACCTTTACAAGAGACGCCTTCACACAAAACTCAGGAGTGCTAGCTCGAGGATAATAAACCACCTCGAAAGGTTGTCCAGTGGCAGCAAGAGATGCAGCCTCAATAACTGATTCGGGCTTCACCCTTCCGCAGCCAATCAAATTCCTGCCAGCATTTCCACTACCATTTCTCTTCAATCTATTCTCTTCTTCCCTCAGAAAGTCCGAAAACCCTCCGTAAGGCACAACACAACTTCCACCTGCTGGATTCCACAGAGATGGCGTTTCCAGTCCCCCATCAATTCCTCTCTTTGCCCGCCTGATTCCAATGCAAAGATCCCCATTTTCCGCCCTCAGAAACACAATTGAATCACCTGCCACGAGCTTCTTGTGGTTCACAAAAGTACTCCATCCTGTTGTCAAGAGATGGCGCCTTGGAGTCCCTCTGTAAATGTGCCTGAATTTCCAAGTCTCCCCATGAACATCCTTTGCCAAAATCGTCTGAACAGGAGGGTCAGCAGAGTAGTCTAGTCGAGGAAAAATTGTCTCCGCACAGTACCTTGGTACCGAAAACCCCCCACCATTGTTTGCATCAGATTGTGTTAATGTCTTTGCAAATGAAGTGGGTTTATCAGGATTATCAGACCCATTCATCCCACCAACCTCACCTTCATCAAAATCAGCCTCATTTCCATTATCAGGAACCAATCGGATTTTCGTAAAAACCTCATCAGTCTCAGGATCAGCCATGAATTTAATCGCAGAAACTGTACAAATTATATATGCCGGAACTCTAGCGCAGCTCCTAAAATCGACATTTCCTGAGGCATGCTCCGCGTGCCCTTGAGGGAAGTAAAACACCTTTGAATTCACTGGCGGCATTTGGACCATACTACCGGCACAAGCATGCCATAATTGGGAGTCCAAGCATTTCTCATGTTCCTTCATCTTCTCTCTGGATTCTATGAATCTAATCATCTTTATTAAACCCAAAACTCAATGCATAAAATGCCTTTCTTTAGAATCTCGATTATCGAACTTCAAACATCAATAGCTGCAAAATTAAAGGTAGATTTCTTATGCATAATAACAAAATCAATGCTTTCTACACAATCAACAAAATAAATCACCAACAATAATAAATTAAATTGAACCAAAACAAATTCAATTTCTTACCTCTTTAATCTCCAGTTGCCAAACAAATCCATCTGCACAAACATCAAAAACTTCACAATAATTCAAAACTGTAAAACTCAATCAAAATCTTCTCTTTTTCCTTGTTTGATTCAGCAGAAAACACTCTAAAATCCAACTTTTTTTACACAAAATCGATAACTCCTCGCAATTATCTGCTCTCACTCCTTAGCAGAAGACCAACTTTAAAGCATCCCCATCCATCTTCAACAGCGCAAAAATTTTAAAAAAAAATCAGCCAATAGCAAACAAGAAAACTAGATTTTAAGAACAATAGTAAGAACACATAAGCCCTAGCAAAACCAGGAAGAACCCGTTGATTTTCTTCAATACATATTTACACTCAACCCCATTCACCACATATATAATCTCTCTCCTCTCTTTCTCCACCCAACTCCTTATATATATGTATATGTCAAAAAAGGGTATGTGCTACGTATGTATGCAAAGTCCTCGCACGTACGCATAGACAGAGAGAGTCTTTTTATCTTTTCACCTGATGGGTTTTGAATTAATACTTTTACCCTTTTCTTCGGATCTGAAGAAACTTCTGATGTACCTTCAAAAGTAACAAAGATCTTAATGCAAGCTACCCATCTCCTACTTTCTTGATTTCTTTATCAAATAGAATAATCAACAAATTGGGTTCAATGGATAAAATACTAATAAATTCATTCTCTTTCTTACTGGGTTGGATTTAATTGAACTTTCTTGATTACGGTAGTTCGAATAGATTAATTGAGATTTTGAAAACAACAATTTATTGTAGTGAGTGCAATAGTCTAACTAGATTAATTTAATATTTACATTGATTGAAGGAAGTCAAGAGTTAGTTCTAAAAGTAAGGCAGTCTTTAAGTAGACAAAAAGGGGTTTTTGACAACTTTAACCATAGTTAACATTGGATTGGACAGTCTCGACATTTGTTATTTTCATTACTTAAGTCGATCCGTACTATCTCTATTTATTCTTCATTTATCCAATATAATTTTTTTTATATCTCTTGGATATAATTTGATGCAATGACGTTAGACGTTATTATCTGTTATTTAATATAGAAAATACGTGTCACACATTGTTTATCGTAAATTTCTACAAATTCAATTTTTATTTATGTTGTTCTTACCTAGTCTTTGAAAAGAAAAGGAAAATTAATTAGCTAGGTTAAGACTTTTAAGAGAGTGTAACTTGACTTGGGTTAGCTAAAGTACTTTGATTAGGCAGCTAGATTGGATATTATTGTACTTCTAATTCTATAGGCGGCAACTTTGGCACTTTTTCTTTCAAAAATTTTTGGATCATGCTAAGTATACATAAAAGTTGACAAAATGCTTTACAGCCGTGTGAGTTAATAGATTTTGATACATTGATCTTTACAAAACGTTTTCTAATTAACTGTTAGATTTTTTTTTACACATAAAAAAGTGTTAATTACAGTGTACACTTTGTGTGGACAAATAGTTTAATCCAAACTTTTTTCCGTATTCTTTCAATGTTTTTGAAAGGAATGCAATGGAAAGGACAAACTCTTTCAAAGTTCATTCAACCCAAAAGGTACTTCCGAACCAACGAGGATGATTGGCACGTCGACCAGTAAATTATTGTAGAGCAAGAATAACGTTTTGTACCACCAATTTAGATAGCAGTAAACCACATTCAGATAACTCTAGATTTGTGCTAAATAATATGGAGCATGCTACGTGTACATAAAGATTGACACGTTGATGTACACTTATATGATTTGAAAGATTTTGGTACATTAATCTTGACAACATCTTTTCCAATCAATTGTCAAATTTTTGACACATAGGAGTGTCAATCAAGGTGTACACTGTGTGTACAAGTTGTTTAATCTAAAGAATATTATTCTTCTTCTACATTACTTAATTGATTGACGTGTCAAGTATACTCGTCAAACTTAGGTGCAATTATGGATCACGATTAAAAAAGGTTAAAACCCTAGACATCATTTGACGATAAATGTACGTGTAGAATGTCGATAATGCGGGGCAAGGATTGCAGTTTGATTTTCTTCCCCCAAAGATTGTAGCCATTCTCAGTTGGGTTCTACTCGAAGAAAAATTATACGTTGGAACGTAAGTATATCTCTACTTTTTTTATCAATAGACGAGCTAGGAATCATTGGGAAATTATTCTAATAAATTATCTTTTGTGGTCGATTCAGTGTTGTTGGAGCATTCTTGATTGTTGTTGGACTATATAGTGTTCTATGGGGGAAGAAAAGAGAAATGAAGGCCAATGTTCACAACATTGGGCAAGATGAAAAAATTGTAGCAAGAAATGACAGAGAAATTACAGAAACAAATGGGGAAATTATAGTAACAAATGGACAAATTGAGGAAAAATTTGAGTTGGAAATTACTCTAACTTGAGCACAAATCATCAACCTTGTGTGATATGCCTAGAGATATATGCAGGGGAAAAGACTTGATCGTTTTACGAGAATTTACTCGAAAATTTCATAATTTGTGTAATATGAAAAACAATACTAGTAACTTGAACAATATGTAAGGGGACACACCTTTTGTCCTTGCAAACTAACTAGTATTTTAAGTTTTTATAAACTAACTAACTAGTTAGTTTTTTTTTTTTTTACACTCAGGTATCCCAACTTTGTCAGACTAAATCCTGGACCTCCAAGACCCTTACCCCTAGAACCTTGGAAGAGGTAAATCGCAACTAACTAGTTAGTTTGGAAGGACAAAAGGTGTGTCCCCTTACATATTGTTCAAGTTACTACACGGTCACTTACTACTACTTACTGTCCCAATCAAGTTTTACGAGACCTTTATGCCCCATACCGTCTCTCCTCTCGCAAATTTTTGTTGTGCACAACTTCNAGAGTTGGAGTTGGAGAGTTGAATAATTTTGGAGATTGAGAGCGAGAAGGAGACAGGGGTCGAGACATCGAATGATTCGGTGAGATGGTGAGTGTTGGACCTTAGGTTAGTAAGGTTACCATTGGGCCTCCAGATTTGGGCCTTGTCATATAAAATAAAAAAAAATTGGCCAAAAATTAGGCCCCCTCCACGCTTGGGCTTGAGGCGGCGGCCTCATTCGGCTCGCCTCAGGGCCGGGCCTGAGCATGCTACGTGTACATAAAGATTGACACGTTGATATACACTTATATGATTTGACAGATTTTGGTACATTAATCTTGACAACATCTTTTCCAATCAATTATCAGATTTTTGACACATAGGGGTGTCAATCAAGGTGTATACTGTGTGTATAAGTAGTTTAATCCAAATAATATTATTCTTCTTCTACATTACTTAATTGATCGACGCGTCAAGTATACTCGTCAAACTTAGGTGCAATTATGGATCACAATTAAATTCGGGTAAAAACCTAGACATCATTTGACGATAAATGTACATGTAGAATGTGGATAATGCAGGGCAAGGATTGTTGGTATTTCAAGTTTTTATAAACTAACTAGTTAGTTTGCAAGGACAAAAGGTGTGTCCCCCCTTACATATTGTTCAAGATACTATACGGTCACTTACTACTACTTACTCTCCCAATCAAGTTTTACGAGACCTTTATGCCCCATACCGTCTCTCCTCTAGCAAATTTTTGTTGTGCACAACTTCTTTCATTTAGAGGTGTAAAATTAATTAGATCATCGTAAACTGCTCAGAGTTCCATTCTTCCAATCCTTGTAGTGTGCTCTCCCACTCCAAGAAGACTTCCCCTCACTGGTTTGGATTTCCCCACAAATGTGGCTGTTTTGGTGTCTACAGTTGAGCTATACATGTTTACATGTACATATGTATGTATGTGTAGGTGCATCCAAATTCAAAATCAGAGTAATATTCTGAGTGATGATTACGACGTGACCAAGACCATTACCGGGGTCTTCACATTATTATTATTATGTCATATACTATGGCCACTAACTGAGACTCAGTACAGTGCTGCATCCCACGAGAAAAGGGAAGAACCATATCATTTGCTGCCAAGGGACCCTACCCACATCAATGGATATAAACGCGCAAGACAATGCGGACTGATTTTGAATTGATAGTCTATGCTTGTTAGGGCACCTTTATCCGACACTGTTTCAAAGGGTTGATTGATAAAAATTTTGATAAAAGTTTTAATAGATTTTGATAATTAAAAAGTTGTGGATCTCATGAAATACGTAATTAAAATTTAAGTTTGGTCAATTGAAATTTTGATAAGTGTTTTATCAAACAAGCACCAAGTCTGATCTAGCTGAGTTGGCCTGTTGGGGTGATTTATGCGGGCTATCCGTGATCCTATGAAACTCTTTTCCAACCGCACCAAGCTTAATATTATTTAGGCGAAGAACTTGTCGAGTCTCCTTATTGTTTAACTATTAACGGAGCTGGAGGGATAAAAAAAAATTATACTGGTCTGATACATTAAAAAAAAAAAAAAGAATTTTCATTAGAAAATGTTTTCTTCCTCTGAAAACAAACTTGGCCTGTGGTAGGTCTGGCCCTTCCCTCCCCCCCAAGCTCACGTAATCCACGGTTCTCAACTTGAATTTTTTTGAACATTTGTCCTACACGTTAGAAAAATTCTATGTATGTACACATATGGTCCTGGGTGTGTGTATTTATATAAAATATAAATAAATATAAAGGAGAGGTTGGAATGGCGATACGTAAGAGTGGTTGGATGACTGAAATGTGAGATTGTGCCCAAAATTTGGTCCTCTCTCTCTCTACCCACAACGTCATTTCAACTAGAAAAAAACAAATA